ATTATCTCCCTYTTTATATTTTAAATGTTAAAAGGCCATACTTAGATTCTTTTTTAACCTTTCCCAGTAGTGTTTCCAATTTGTTTTTTTATTGCTTTGGAATTTATTTTAATTTTCCTTTTTGTTAGAATTTTGAAGGTTTAAAATGTCATCTTGCCCCACAGTCCTCTAGTCCTCCAGATATTATGTCCTTTTTTTTCAATTCCAGCTGCAGTAAAAGCCAGTTCACTCCTCTGTCTTTGGAGATGGCAAAAAGTGACTTTAAAATATTAGGGCTTTTTCTTAAAATTGAAAATGTGTTTAATTAACTGTAAGATGTGGTTTTGTTKATTTAAATATACCATTTTCTCACTCAGTCTGTAACTGCTAAAGGTCAAACCCAACAGTTGTTCCTTCTTCACAACAAATCTCTGCTTCCTTTGACATCATCTTTTTCTAAAACTGGAGTCYGAGAAAATTGAAAGTCTGTAAGTTGGGAAACAAAATAATTATCTGTCTGTTTTCTACGGCAATAACCCAAGGCCCACACAGCGAATAATGAAGCACTYAGAACAGAAGTTGGCTGAATCATTATCTCACAAAAATAATGCTCTAATGGTGTACTTACTATGCCCATAAGTAACTAGAGAAAAAAAAGGTCTCCAAATGATTGGCCTTTCATAAGCAAGATTTATGATTTCAGAACTGAAATCCCAAGGTGTGATCTACGGTTGAGGTTCTCTGCAGTCCAAGACTGTGGAATAATGTAAAATTCATAATCACCACTCAGTWAAATAAAGCATATACTTGGACTGGCTATTCCTACACAGGTTTAAAGTTACATATATGATTATTTTTTTTTTTATTTTGATCAGTAAGAAAGACCAGATTAACAGGAAAACAAGAACAGGCATCTTTTGTATTTACATTCAYGTCATTTTAATGGGTTGGGCTTTTCAGCCTGCTCTGCACAGCTATTTAGGAAGTTCATTTAATAATTAGCTGACTTGATAACTTCTCTGGTCAGAGAAAGATACGAYAATGCAGGAAGAAAAAGATCTGGTGGATGGTCATCTGTTTAATGTTCAGACAATTAGAGTGTTGGACAAATGCTTGATTTATTCCTTCCTTTGAAGTCTTTAAGGAAGTTATGGTTAATATAGATCAGTTTTGACAGTTAAAAATATATTTATTTTCAGGAAATATGAAGCAATTGTCCCAGTACTGGAGCGTTGAATGAAACAGTGGAAATGATTTTAGAGAAAAAAGCATTGAGGTACAAACCTCCCCAGAGCAGAAAATGTAACTGGGGTATTTTTAAATTTTTATGTATTGCTTATGCTTTTTTTGCTTCTTATAGCTCTTTTTCTGTGTATAGAGAAAAAAAAAGAAATAAAATATTATGTTCTAGCCATGAAATCTGATTCACATTGTTTCCACAGCGTRCCGGATTCCGCCAAGTTCCTTTTTGATCTCACATTCTTACTTTTCTACAAGATGTGGACTTGGAAAAGATAGGAAGTCTACTCCCTTTTGTCAGTCAAAATGTACTTTAGAAACACCAAAACCAAGAAAGTTCTAGAAAGTTTTAGTGACTTAGAGGACAAGCTATGAAATGACCTTTTGCCTTCAGCAAGGTTTTCACCTGACTTTTTCTTTCCTTGAGCTAAGGAAACCAGATTCTACAGGCAGAATTTACAAACACTCCCACTCTTCCATGATGATGGAACCTGTTCCTTTGCGCCACCTTCAAGCAGCTGTCACAGACCCTGGAGGACACCGCATTTTTCCTGTTATTCAATCCTCCTGTGGAAAGCAACCATCTGTGAAACATTCTCCTGGCCACCTGCTGGCCCAGCCAGCTGTTCTGATTCCATGCTGCAGCTGCCACCTGTGACAGTAGCTAAAAGCCAAAAACACTCAAGCAAGAGGGAAACTGACTGGCAGGATGCCAGGTGGATTAAAACTCCATCACAAAAGCTGACAAAAACCCACCTGTGTGTGAAACATCAAGTAGCAAGRAGATAAACAGCAGCTTTCAGTGAGCAGAAGGGCCCAAAAGGGCTCAGCAGGTTTCTTTCTCCTCAAGCAACTTTTTGTGCTTCACTAGAACCAGTTTAATAACTTGTCACCGTAGCTCCAGGGAATGGGAAAACTTGTTCCAGCCTTCTCACCTCCCAAGAGCTCTGGTGAGACMAGCATCAGAGAGAATTCTGGAAGATAGTGAGATAACTCTCCATGTCTCAWGGACATCAGGAAGTGCTGAAATAAGACTAAAATGGGATTTAAGTGGTACATGAGTCCTGTGCTGGCACAGTATGTRTGGGCAAGTTTTAGTCTCCTTGAGAAGGGAAGGGAATTCACAAGGACCAGTGAGGAGCTACAACACTGATGGATGCAGATGGCCCAAATTCCTCCAGAGTTTAGAGAAGGGAAAAGACACAAATGATAAGAAAAAAAGAAACATCCAAACAGCATGTTTCTCATTCTCAGCAGCAGAATTCATGGAACAAATCTGCAACGGATACAAGCAAAGAACACACTGAAACTATCCTGATTTCCATCTGCTAAAGAATGAATATTCTCTCTGTTCTGACCACTTTTACAGTTACTGTCCCATAACTTTAAAATAATGTCTTCAGACAAACTTTTCACTGCTTGATGCAAAGGAATAAACTATTTACTATCTAACATTAATATTAAAAAGGTGATGAGTACACCATTGCTGGGCAGCTGCTTATCTCTGACCTGCAGGGGAAGAGTCAATTTAAAATAATTGACACATTATTATAAATAGTATTTGTCATTAAAATAAATTAGTGTTGACAGTCATCACCAYTTCTGGTAGTTAGTTTCTAGATTTTCAATAGCACTGTAAAACAYAGAAGTTAAAATAAGTTGAATTTTCCCCTGAGGCTCTGTAACCACTTCACCAGTTTCCTATACTGCATTAGCTTTCTTTTCCAAGTACACTGAGCACATTGTTTTATTATTTAACAGTAGAATGGTAATGGCATTCATTACAATTAAAAATAAACTGGTTACTAAAGTTTGTTTTTGCCAGTCCTTKCCTCTTGATAGCTAATTTGGTAATGAAACAGAACATGACACTTGAGAATAAACTGTAACCTAATCACATTTCTTAAAAGTAGTTATGTGAGTGTACATGCACACACGTKCTCCCCACATTATTAAATCACTGAACTTCTTTTAAAAGTCTCTTTAGAAATAAGTAGAAGGAAACCTCTGTTTTCCCTTTCTTTCATAATGACCGAAATTCAATTTGTGAAGGAAAGCTTTTATTAATTATTTAAGACTTCATTAATAGAAGCCACAAAATTACTGGTAAGCTTTGTAAGTAGAAGGGAAACTGCCATTTATAATACTGGAACAGAAATATGGATAATTACATAAATTTAAATGTTAGACAGAAAAAAGTTTCCTGATGAAGAACATGGTGGAGTAGAGTAACCAAAAATCCCTAAGTGCACATGAAGAGTACAAGTAGCAAAACTTTGAGAGCCTTTTGCCACATTTAGGTTCTCAGTTTAGATTGAAATATTTGAACTAAACAAAAGAGGTACCCAGCATGAACAGGGCTACTGCCAGCTGAAAGCCAGACAATTCAGTGAACCCTGAGAAATAAACTACTTGATGTGGATATAGTTACTGTATATATTAAGCTGTATATAAAACAAATTTATTTTGCCACCTTAAATTGCACTGTGCCAGATCAGGATATATATTATTCAGTATGAAATATCTGCTCTATATTACCCAAGATTATAATATTAAACAGCCTGAACAGAAYTTGGGGGAAAATAGGGGTTTGCCCTGGAAAGCAAAGAAGAAGACTGCACMCAGTCATTTTTCTTCTGAGAAGAGTAGAGGAGTCAAAGAAAACACAGGCACACTAATGATGTTCTTCTGTCCATTGAACCCTAGATATAATTTCTAATTGCACAGGAAAACTCTTAGGGCATATTTAAGAACTCCAGACTGGACATTTTATATCCAGTAAGACTAAGTTTCATATTAGTAGGAATTGTCTCAGGCGTATTTCAGGCACTGTTGAAAAACTGTTTGCTAAATGTGGTTCCTCTTTATTTGAAAGATACGCTCATTAAGCACGTTATCCTACTCATTTCAGTAAAATAAGCCCATTAATAACTCTGTCTTATCCCCACTAACACTTCCAGAGACCATGCAGGTATAAAAGTGTTATTTATGCTCTTCCTGAACCCACACTTCATCAACCAAATGACAACATTTCAAATTGTTTTCTTTCCTTTGCAGGGAGGAAAGCTTTGGTTTAAGGGGGCTGAACCAGCTGAACTGTAAATAAAAGCTCAGTTCATCCATCATTAGTAAAGATGGAAAAAAAAAAAAAGAAAACACAGCAGAGTTTGATTTTCAGATCACAGGGCAGATTTTCAGACATCAGAAAGCCACATTCTTACTCAGAGAGCCTTGAAGTAACAGCACAGCAAACAGAATAATCACTTAATGTGATAATACAGTAAGAGAACTCCTTGTGTTGCAGAGATAGGTGCTGATTGGCAACTTCTGCCAGGCCTGGTGCATCTCCATAATCCTGAAAAGGAACTTTTGGGAACTCTACCATCACAAGCCAGACTGTTACAAAAATGGTAAGACATACTCTTTGACACAACATGAGAATTCTGACAACTTCAAGAGAGGTCAGAGAAATCACAAAAGCAGCATCCTTACAAAGTAAAGCAATGTTTACAAATKTTGATAAAAACTATTTTTGGCTCAAACCCAAAAATGCTGGAAAAACCCAAATCACTCAAAGGAGCAAAACTGCCCAGCAGCAGGATGAAGTGGGTCTTTTATCCAAGTTACCCATACCCAGTGCTGAAAGGGAAGGAGCCAAACCCAGTTTTTCTGTTGATTTTAAACCARAAGGGAGGTTGTCACCAACAGAATCATGGATAAATTTCATTATAAATTTCACTGTGACAGAAAATRACTATGGTATCCACGGCAAATGACCTTACCAGTAAAGCTGATGGGCTACTTGGATGCTCTGGAGAGAACGATTCAGCAGGAGCTTCACCAGAGGGCTGTCAAGACTCCACTCAAACTTGAGCACCTTAATAGAAAAATTGATAATAAAAATCAATTTCATGCTGGCTTTGGTCTCTTTCCTTTATAACAAAACTAATCAAAAATACCCCAGCGCTTAGTCTGAACAAAGCAATCAAACATTCCTCAAAATCAGAGGAATTTGCTCTTGGCAATGCAATGAACAGAGAATCTTCAGTGCATAAGGGTCTGCCACCACCTGTAAGTTAGACAGACACCATCCTGATCCTGTGTTAACATGCATATAAATATGCTGCTTCTCTTCCCCCACTTAAAACTATCACTGCTACATTTAATTTTTGATTTGATTATCCAGTTTGGAAAATAAACTTTTTTTAGAACAGAAGCTGTGGAAGGGGAAGGGTCACAGCAGTTTGTGAATGCTGTAAAGCTGTGARGGTTCCAGTGCTTCACACTAGTGGATTACATGAATATATTCATATATGCGTACACTAGATAATCATATATCACAGACAGACAGAAACCCTGAGAAACTCTGCAGTGTGGAATAAAGAGTCATCCATATGMACAGTGTTACAAAATAAGGGGATAAAGTTTTCAAAAGTTTCCTGCTCAACCCCAGCACAGGAGCTGTTCAATCACTGAGTGCCTTGGAAGCAATGATGCCATCACTTGCAGAACATTAATTTCCAGTGAAATGCAATGTGCATCTCTAAAGAGACAATTCTACACCCAAATGTCCACATTACYGTGTTGACAGGGTTTTTCTCAGTATACGTGGCAATAAAAACCTGTGATTTGTGGCAACATTTCGTTCCTTGACTACAATGAAGCTGTGTCACCTGGTTTGGTGACCAAAGGAGAATTTCTCTTGTTCAAATGCACTTTTAACTTTTCTGTATTACTTGAAAATACCTTCATGTGGTATATATGAAATCTCAATCAACATGCCAAAACAATTCCATTCTTAAGTGGGAAACAGTCTATACCCCAGCCCTGKTTTTCATCCACCCGTCAATTGACCAGACTTATTTATTCCTCCTACAATGGATCAACCAMCCTGAAAGAATCAAAAGTTTTGTAATGAAGTTATTGATCTGGACAGAAGACTTCCTTGGTTATCAATTTCCTCCTTACCTGAACTAGCTGTGGGAGGTACTCTAACAATTCATCATTTGATACATYTTCTATTTGCTGCACTGCCGTCCTGCGAATATCTTGATCTGGAAAACTAGAGCAAAACAAATGRGTATCATTAAGATCTACCAGACCACTGCAACTCTCCTGAGCTCTCACTCATACAAGATGTTAGARAAACTGATTTTCTCTCAAAATGGAACAGGAAAAAATCTAATTAATTTGCTTTACTGTAACAAGAAACACACCACAGATGACTTAATTGGATTGACTGTTACAGTGCCACACAGGRAAAAAAAAGCCCAAATTGATCTTCAAATACCTTTTTTAATTTGAACTACCATGTATTGYAATTTCCTGAAATATGAAGCAAAGTACAGATCTCTTGCTGCTCTTTCTTATCTGATATAGGAAATTTCTGAGTTGCATGAAATTTTAATAGTTTCTTTAAGACTTTATTTGCTCTGAGCAACACAAAAGCTTGAAATTTCCCATACAAAAATTTTTAATTTCAGATAATTTCTTCCCAAATGAGCTCTTCAGTTTTGTGTCATAACACATCAAAAATACTTTTTAAACAAAAGCAATTTCAAAGCTGAAGTCATGAGTTGGTTTTTTTCGGATTTTATGATGTGAAATTTGGTAAAAGAGTAACATCATCTTCCGGAAAGGCTCCAAGTCGGTGAAACAGACATTTGTGATGAGAAARTATCTGAGAACTCAGCATAAGCTATATTCTCAACTAATTCTGGTTGAAGCCAGAGTTCCTGCAGCCTGCTATAGATTTTGTGATGGAGCTCTCATCGTGAAAATGATAAAAGAGGAGACATGGTGTGGCAGCAGTGATAATGTGGAAAAAGAAAGCAGGATAATATAGATGGTAAAAACATTTTCCTTTGAAAGAGAATGAAATTTTGATGTAACCTGATTGATCAAAACTGACTCTTAACAACATTTTCCCTCTTCTCAGAGAAAAAGACAGAATGTATACAGTGTCTCTTTTAATATTTGAAAGCCAGAAGATAATCTTTTAAGGACTTACTTTGAAAATATAAAAGTAATTTCCACCTTTTCACATTTTGCAATTGTGACATTAATCATTAAAATTTGGACTCGATCTCAGAGGTCTTTTCCAACCTTAATGATTCTATGAATTTATACACAGAGAATTTTACATACACAGAAGTTTCCTAGATTGGTACAAATTCAGCTGTTCAAATTCAAATTGCAGCTCTGCTTTCMCAAGGAAAGGATGAGATGTGCYCTTCTCTGTACATCTGCTATGTGGTGCCACCCTTATCTGTGTATCAGTACTTGAATGTTGCCCATTGCTACCCCAGAAAGCTTTTCTGTCTTCTCCTGAAGCAAACTGGGATTGTTCATAGAGACTTTCAGTTGCCAGAGGTGCAAGAAGGGTCATCTCTACCTAAGGGGCAGAAATGTCTTCAAACAGCATCACAGTCAATGATATTGCCCAGCAGAGCTGCCGGGCTTTGATCCAGTTCCCTGAAGGCAAGCACCTGCCCCGCAAAAAGCAGTGAATCCCTACCCTCTGAACTGATAGGGCTATCAGGCTCTTGGGAGAGATCTCTGATTTGGCGGTCCAGGCACACAAAGAAATGGTGACTAAAGGACACAGGTTATCCTGTCAGTTCACCCTGAGGAAAACCCTTTGAAATCAGAACCTTTATGTATGGCAGATGTCACAGGCCACCAGCATCACTCCTTCAAGAGTTCAGCACAAAACCAGACTGCTCTCTTCCTACCTTCCCATCTAGCACCTTTTGCCAATAATATTGAAATAAAGTTCAGAAGTGAAACAGAGGAGGAAGCACAGTATTTGCAGCAATGACTACCTGATGCTATCAAGATAACAAGAGAATAAATTGTAAAGCTAAGCACTCAGCAGTATAATGGCACCTGCTGCTTAAATCTTGAGCTTCTAAAGTTCAATAAAACCAGATGAAGCAGAACAGTATGTGCACTTTGATCAGTGACTTAACTAGAGGCCATTTAATAAAAATGGGAATACTTTGATTTAAGAAAAAAAAAAAAGGTGGATAGTTGGACTTGAAAAACCTGGTTTTCAGGGCTGCAACCAGCTGCTACCTGTAAGACCTCCCAACTCCCTTTAACAACGGGGCTCAGGTCTGCTTTTACAATTTTGTTTGTCTGTTATGGTACATACTTAATGACATTTCTAATACAGTTTATAATTCTTTGTATAATGATGAGAGGGCCTTGATGGGTAGAGGAGGAATACATTATAAATAAATTATCATGATAGGCCCAAATTAGCATCTCTTGCAAGGCTTTTTTTTTCACTAATTTATTCCAGGCAACCTATTAGGAATGAGATGTTGTTACTTTAATATTCACATGGCTATTTAGAACAAAACATAYTTGAAGGAGGASTATATATTAAAAAAAAAAAAAAAATCCCTTTCATGTCATCCTATTTTCGAATTATGCAATTGCTCCAWAGGGCTGTGTGCTAAGCACGTGCAGATAATATGGAAATGAGCCTTTCCCTTTCCCTTCTTGCCTAGCTCAACAGGCTACTGAACAGTGAAATACACTCTACACAGGCACAAAGCCAAGCAGAAAAATGTTATTACTTAGTTACAGCTTGTCCTTACTAGGAGCCAAGATCTGAATACACTCAATGCTATGAGGAGAGAAATCCTGTATTTCTTTCCAGATAGATGAAGAATGATAAAATTATTTTGATCCCAAACTTTCCAGAAGATTCAGCAGCTAACATTTGATTTATTCAGAATTAATTTGATCCAAGTCAAAACTGGGGCTATGTCTGAGTTACGAAACAGTGCAAGATGTGATTAGGGCAGTGGCAGGCACTTTGGTGAAATATCTGCAGGGCAGTTTGCTTCAGGAAACATGGCTCTTGTCATTCTTCTTGAATGAGTTTTTGATAATTTGTTGATCCTAGTGACTAAACTGTTTCCTTCAGCTTGTAAATCTTGAGGTCAGCTTRAGGCTTAGTTTGTGAACAGAACGGGCAACTAGGATATTTTTTTAACTACCTGACAATTTTTTAAGCCCTAGATGCAATAGCCATTTCTTTTATTTTTGAATTTCAGTGTTGTTCAGGGCCGCTGGTACAAGTACAATATTGAATCTGTATTTAAATGTTGTACACAGGCACAATATTTAATTCTATTTGTTTTACCCCTGACATTTGTATTTGAGCAAGCATTTAACATCCTCAGAAACACTGGAATTACAGCAAACTCTTATGAACTCCTTTARCATTACATGGTGCTTATGCTACTCACGCTTGCATACACCAGTTTATCTGCTAAAAGCCAATAGTAGGGTATGTTTTAGAAGCAGATCTGAGTAAAAATAAAATCCCTTCACATGCCTGGAAACTATGCCATCTTGTAGTCTGGTAATTAATTAGGGCTGGGAGGATTTTTTTCCAGTGAATAATCTTGCAAATGTTTGAATTGCATCAAATCTGATTTTAGTAATCCATAAATTAGTCTTGATTAGAGCACAAAATTAATTGATTTTTTGACTCAAACTCAATGCAAGAGAAATCACTTCAGGCCTAAGGAAAAGAGCTTTAGAGTTTGGATATTAGAGGAGAGCCGATTTCCAGGGCTTGCTGTAATGAATATGCAATTATTTACACATGCAGAAAACTCTGAGAGCAGAGAAGTGAGACAACTCTATCACAACAAATTCAATATTCCAGTCTTTAAGGGTACACTACTGAGAAAGAGAAGATCGTCTGTAGCACAGCTTGTCTACATCAGATCAATTTTGTAAAGGATTTGAACCACAGACTGTTAGAATTTCTGACATGTGGCCTCTAACTACGGCTTCAGAGAGGCAGGACATTTGAGGACTCCTCTGCCTAGCTGCTTTATGGTTGTCACAAAAAAGTCTGAGAATTCAGCAAAAAAATCCCCAGCTTAAAACAAAAACCTTTAACAATGCTCGTAAGATTCTTTCTTTGCATAGTTTCAAAATGGTAATTGTCATCCACGTTTAGGCTTCCATTCACTTATAGGTTTGGGTTTTTTTCCCCTCAACAATCAACCTATTGGCCAGTAAATACTTCAGTGAATAGAACCAAAGTGTTCCCCATTTATTTGCCTGGCTGCATTGTAATTTCTGGCAGCTTTCTTCTTTTGGCCAATTTAATTGTTTTGTCTTAAGGCAACGAGGACACCACAAAAGAGATTGTGACTCCTTACACATTTGTTCCAGGTTTAAACACACTTGAAACATCACAGAYTCCAACAAAAAAGAAACAATATGCAAATTACAGTTGAGTTTAGTCTTTGTTAATAGGTCACACCATGCAGGACTTCAGATTTCCCCTTCACAGCTTGGCTCACAATTTGCATTCTCCATAAGTTATGAAWCTGTTTTCCTCTAATTAAACACCCATTTAGACTCAACACCCTTTTTGYTGTTTTGTTCTTCCCCCTCTGCATGATGCCAGTGATTGACAGCCACCCATTTTTTAACTTCTAAGTAGATTATTAGGTCTCCCTTGAGACTTTAAGATGTTTTTTGAAAAAGGTGAATTTTGAGGTGGATGAGCACAGATGACAATTTGATTTAGAAATAAAGACAACTTTCAGTCTTTGATTTTTTTTCATACACGTAGCCAGTCAGGAGCTATTTGTCTAGCTGCACCTTTCAGCTAAATCAGATTCAAAGAGAAAACTAAGCACTTCTGAGATGTCCTGTGGATTTGTGAAATTCTCTTGAGATTTTAGCATCTGCCAGCGGTGAGCTGGCTATAAATGAGAAATAGACGTGCTCTTCATTTTTAACAGTTTTATTATTCTAATTTTGTTGTGCTGCTCAATTAGCCCTATGCTGGAATATATTTGTCAGGTAAGTGAAACTGCTCAGCTCTCTACATTTTCTGGTGTGTGAAGACCTCTGAATAGAACAGGCCTTTTTAAGGCAGAGCCTAATAGCATGACACTTAYTTCTGCATATGGCTTCACATTTTAAGTTCTGTTGCATTTTCAAAAAAGAAAAAATTCAGTCCAATGAAATGCATGTTACTAAGTCTGGCAGAAACAAGGAAAGCTGAAATAGAAATCC